AAGCAGCTGTTTGACAACTGCGAGATGCCCGAACTCGGCGGCTAAGTGCAACGCTGTGCGCCCGTTCAAATCCGCGTCCGTCGCATCGACCTCCGTAGCAGCGACATCCACGTCGGCCGCCAGAAACTGCGCTACGACGACGTCGTGGCCGTTGCTCGCGGCGTGGGAAAGTGGCGACCGATCTGCTTCGGTTCCCGGGGCGTTGACGTCGGCGCCCGCGGAGATCAGCCGTGCGACTATACGGGAATACCCAAGCTTGGCGCAGGTTGGAAGACAGTCGCTTAAGTCCAGGCCGTGCTCGGCGTCATCAGAGTCCGCGTGCATCGAGAGAAGGTGCTCGACCACGGAAAAATGACCCATCTCGCAGGCCATTTTCAAGGCCTTGGTAACATGTTTAATATCCCGGCCGCAGTGCTGTATTAGGACATTGACCGTGGAAACGTGTCCCTCACCCGCGGCGAGGTTGAGTGCATGACCAAAGTCGTCAATTTCGGTGCTCGCATCCCCGGCTTCAGCATTCGCATCCCCGGCTTCGGCGATCGCATCCTCAGTTTCGGCACCAACTTCCTCATTCTCCGAGCGCAGGAGCTGCTTCACAACGGTAAATAGTCCGAGGTGAGCGGCAATTTGCAGCGGCGAATTCCAGTCCGGGATTACTTCTACGTCTTTGCTGGAGGGCAGGCTCGGTGGCAACTTGATCGCCCAGTACAGCTGCGCCCAGCGATTCCTGGCGGTCTCGTCTTTGAGGAAGCCGATGACCTGCTCATCAAGCGACTGGTCGCCGGTGGCGGAGGCGTGGCGAACGTGCGTTGCCCAGTGCTGGGCTGCATACGTCGCAAACCTATGTGAAGGTGGGAGGGACTGCGAATGAGGGAAACGTAGCTGCGGAGGCACCTGAATGTAGGATTTCAAAGCGTCGGTCTCGTCCCAGAGGTCGTTGGCGGATATGTATCGAATACAGGTAGCGGCGAGCGAAGCGTGCCACAACGCGGCATCGCCGAAGCTGCAGAACGTGTCAAACGTGTGCTCCGTCAAGAACTCCCTGAAGGTTTGGTGATGCAGGTGTACTTCTCCGTTCTCGATTCTAACCAGCCTCCCCAGCGTACGTTTCAGATCCTCGCTCATGTTGTGCCGGATTTGCTTCTCTATCTGCGCCGGGGACAGTGTGGTCGCCGCGTTTGCGTCCACAATCGTCGCTACAGCTAGCTGTTCGACCGTCATTGGCCGTGCCGCAAATACCAGCCAGGAAAACACTTGGTAGCACCACTCGCGATCCGGCGCTGGAATGTCGGACAGCAAGTGATCGTACAGACGGCGATGACTGACCTGATCCGAGCTCGTCCTGATGCTCATGGCCACGCGACTTGCCGCAAGCGACAGTTCATTGGAGCCGGGTACTTCTAGGAGGACAGTGAAGACCAGATCAAGCACTAGGAAGGTAGAATTTGTCGCCTCCAGGTCGTCCGCAACATCGTTGAACTCGGAGCCCTGCAGGCGCTGCCTCACGAAATATTTCTCGTCGGTCGTCACGTCGTCATCCGTGTCCATGTCCAACTGGAATCCGGAGAACCTTTGCCACGTAGACGCAGTGTTCTCTCCCGTCCGACCTGTAACGATGAATTTGTACGAAGTCTTGATCTGCTCGTCAAGAGTGGCGATGTGGGACAGCAGTAGCGCGCTGCTGACGGCGTCGCACTGCTCAATGGCATCGATGATGCACACGACCTTGGTGTCGCCGAGATCTCCTAGGATTCCGCGGAACAGATTCCACAACGTGTGTAGAGACGGGTTGCTGCTGTCCCTAATCTCACCGTACATGGTCACTACGTAGTAGCTCTTGATGATGGTCTCCTCTTGGAACATCAACTGGCAGAGGAACGACAGGAGCAGATCCTTCGCTGTGCGCCGCCGATCATCATGAGCGTCGAAGTGAAATACGAGTGTTCTCGCATCGGTTTTCCGCGAGAGCTCGGCCAAGTGCGAAGCTAGCACGGACTTGCCGCAGCCCGCCCGGCCATGCACGTGTACAAACGCTGCGGGGTTGTCCAGAAGCCGTGGTGCCCATGTCAGGGTCCCGGCATAGGGCTTACCCGTCGGGACTGGCGAGAAACCGTCGGGATGCAGAGTCGTAAGGCTCAGACGACATTGGAGATAATCTTGACTGAAATCCTGCCAGTTACCTGCACGATCGGAGGGCTGTTACCAAAGCGAGTTCGGGGAAAGAGAGCCGGCATACGGTACTAACTGTGCTCGGAAGCTTCGGCGAAGACATTGATCTCCCTGCACAGCTCCTGTAGAAGCTGCGGATCGCCGTCGTCCTTCGAAAACTGACAGATTCGCGTGTGGTCTCGGTCTCGATGCAGGTGTTTGGTGCCCTCGTCGGGATCTCCGGCCCATTCCTCCGGCACCTACATTTCCCCATCAGCGGTGGACTACTCTGGTACATGGCCATGAAGGGTCGGTGTGTTTGCGTACCACTTTGCCCACAAACGGGGTCATCTGCGTCTCGAAGACGCTCAGGCTTCTGTACTGCCGTGCAAATCTTTGGAACCGTGACGAGGCCGCGATCAGGGCGCTCGGGCCCTGCTCCAGCACCTTCCTCAGCATCTTGCGTCTCGACGAGATGAAGGGCTCCGCTTCGGTCGATGCTAGGGTGATGCCGAAAACCAAGTCCAGCCAAACGTCATGGTCTTCGGGGCAATGCGGAGCGCCAAAGAAGATCTTCAGACCCGGCAGAAATCAGCGCTGCGCATCTCGACGAACGGCAGTTTTCTCGTTTCTCGGTTCTTTTACTCACAAGTAACTTCGTGTTGGCCGCAATGCGCAAGTAGTCCTTCTCGTGATTGGCAACCCAGAGCAACTGCACAGGCGAGAACGTTAAAATCGGCACGATCTCGCTAAACCAAACTCAATCGAAAACCACGCTTACATACTTCCTTAATCAGTACCCCTCCCAGATTATGACCGACGAACACCAACGGCGTGTTCTACGCAAGCCGTCAGAACCTAATCGGAATCCATCTTGCCGTGGATGAGTACGGTCTACATACTTCGCAATCCTTCCTCTTCTTCTGCAACTGACGCAGCAATTCCCGCGCGTCGTGACGCAGCGCCAACTCCTCAAAGAACCGGCCCGCAGCGGGGTCCGCGAAGTAGCCGTACGTCATGACGCGCGCGTTGGGCACGCTGGTGTGGAGCACTTCAGAGAGCCACATTTCCGGGGGCTCGGATTCGGCGGTGCCGGTGTCCTGACGAGTCCAAGTTTTCACCCGGTGGCCGTTCACGCCGTGGACGGCAACTATGCTGTGGATCCGCGAATTCACTATAAGCCTTGCTAATACTTTCGATGGAAGAGCGAATGGGAATGCAGCGCACACGTACTCCACCTTGAGGTTTGACGAGCCATTGACGGTGACGGGCGTGCCGGAAAACGGCAGCTCCAGTAACCCATACTCATTTCCCGGTGGTCCCATTACGGCCGTGGGTCTCCTCTTCCTCTCTCAATGGTAGGAGATATACCGATATGGCACGTTTATGTGCGGGGAGAACAGCCAATCGGACGTTCTTCTCGTCTTGCTCTTTGACCGTGGAAGGAGTAGGATGGCGGCCTGATCTCGAGCTGAAAGTGGGCGATCAAAGCGAAGATGTATTCGTTACACACTTCCAAAGGTTCCGCAAAAGTGGTGATGATGAAAGTGACGGTTGGTTTCAATGCGGGAGAGGGACAGAGGATTTCCAGGACATTTCGGTCTACTAGTACTACATACCCGCTGGTCCACTACCCCACCTGCCATGCATGGCTGCAGTGGCATGGGTTATCTGCATGCACATCGATGGCCAGGCTCTAGCCCAGCTATCGGTGAAATAGTGCCTGTCTATACTTGGAATATGCACGCAAGCCTCTCACCGTCGGAGAACAATCTCGCATATGAGGATTTAAAATGTGCGTAAGTACCAGGGTGACTTCTGGCTCTCCCGTCCAGAACAGACCACTACAACTACTCGCACTTTCCCCCACGCCACAAAAATATTAGACCCTCCAGCAGCATGACGACTGAGTCCGAGTCGACTTCCTTTTCAATCGAGCTATACGATGTCGGCGAAGAAGGCGCCTCATTCCGCTGCCGGAACGTGAGCATCGACGAGTTCCAGCGCAAGCAGATCGCGCAGCAAGAAGACCGGCGACTATCGGCGCAGGCGGACCTCGTGAGCGTCGTGCACGGCCTATCCAACGACGAACCCGCCACCCTGATCATCATCGACTTCCAATTCCAAGGGTCACGGGCAGGGGGGCGGCGTTTCAAGAGCGCGACGATCGACCTCTCCTTCTCCTCAGCCGCCAAAGGCCCGGGCGCATACAACGACCCGATCGTGCGGCAGATCGCGCCGTACGGCACGTTCGCGCTCAACGCGTCGCTGGAGCAGACCGAGACGACAGTCTCCGTAAGCGCGAGCGCGGAAGCCGGCGCAGGGATCGCCACGCTCGGCATTGGTACCGGGTTTGAGCGCACGACGACGATCGAGCGCCAGGCGAACACGATGCTCTACGGGAGGCGCCGCATCGAGGGCCGTAATCGCGGCGAGCAGAATGCGGCGAGGTGGGAGCTCGTGGAGAATCCGGTTGATAAGCGAGGGATCCCCCATGCCCTCCGCACGGCTGTCCTCGTCGAGCCCCGAACAACGGAAAGGTTCCACGCGTGGATCACAATCAAGGCGGAGGTCGATGTGCTCCACTCCCTTAAGGGCTTCTTCGGCCGCAGCGTCGTCGATCCGGTTTATTTTGGCACGGCGGAACAGCGCGAAGATTTTGGCCCGCGGTTGGTCGGCTTGGACGTCAAAGATCTCGCCTCATGTAATCTTGAGCAGCTCGGTGAAGTAGAGTAAGTACTTCTTAGGCACCCTTGCCTGTCAACCCCGCACCTCTCAGACAGAAAGAAAATGAATTCCGCACCACATCTACATCTTCTGTGCAGCTAACAATGAACTACACAGGGGCCGAGTTCCGGGGGCGCAGAAGGCGTGAAGCTATACGTATTTGGTAGAGCTGTCTCTTCATATGTATATAGGTAGATGATGTTGAAGTTTAAGCTTTAGAATCTGCAGTCTTGTTCACTTTCCCTTCCCCGTCTTGTCTACATGTCTACATACCGAAGAAAGCAGCTCTACCTCAAGACGTCCATAGCATGTTCGGGGGGAGAGTCGCGGCTTTCTTTCCAAACCATGTGATCTAGGCAACCAGAGTACGTCGATCGAATTGGGAAAAAGCGGCGACTTTGAGTCTATACATACAGTGCCAAAAAGCGGGTAGAAATTGACGCTGGACTTACACCGTGTCTACACGGGATATGTTTTTTCCATGCAGTCAGACTAAACCTCGTATTAATCCGGTGCATATGCAAATCATAATTTGTTCAGGTTCGGCATCTATTTCGATACCACTTGCAAGAAACTCTTTATTTTTATGATTGTGGGGTCTACACGATGTCCATGACGAATTTCAAGAAATTAGTATCTAGATGATCACCGGATCAACACCGGACCGACACCGAGATCATGAAGCTCAAAGAAGAGAATAGGCACCAATAATATTACAACATGGGATCTTCTGAATTATTTTTATGATTAGATACGGTGTCTGCCTGGTGTTGCTACCCTACTCGAAGAAATCCGTGTTGAAGAAATCACAGCAGGCATACCGTGTTGATCCCAGGTCTTCTATCATGCAGTATGATTACGAACGAGTATCAGAAAACAATACTGGATGCTTCCGGTATCATCCCGTAGTCTACTCGCTTTTAATCGGTACATAGGTTAATTAGAACCCGAAAACAAATGAGTATTGATACAGGCCCCAGTTGTAAGGTCTATACTAGCATGCGAAAGGACTTTATATATGGATTTATCTTCTATTGAATTCTACTTGCTACCAGGCCAGGCTCGAACCCAAACTCATAGAATTCCTGGAAACCCACTTCGCACTGTTTGTTACTTAGTTGTCGAACATTCGTGACATCTACGGTAGACGTTAGTATGCTCATCAGCGGAAAAATGTGACGTCAGGTGTTCACTGCACAAGCAGCTCTGTATTCTCGGGTTCAGTGGGTCGGGTATTATAGCATTAGTAGAAAGGAGAAGGTATCAGCGGCGGGTCCAATAGGGGAAGGAGTAGGACTAGAAGTAGGGCAATTAGCACGGCAAAGAGCAATAGGTGGAGAGAATATCCGCGGGGGGTCCAGCAGGGCAAGGAGTAGTAAGGACGGGGGATATCCACAGCGCAGCCAGCCAAGTCTCCGCGGCGGGCTGTGGCGCAGCAAGGGAGGAACTGTCAGCTAGAGGAGGGAGTGATGGAGGATATCTGTTGGCGGGAGGAAGTGGATGTGGTTGGTTGGGGGCATCTGCCATCAATGTGGTGGGTCCAGCAATTCGGCTGCTCTCTTGGTTATAGAAGCAGTAGGAGGCGAGGTCAGCAGGGCAAGGAGCAGTAGGGAGGGGGGTATTCACAGTGTAGCTAGTCCTCTATCCTCGATGGGTCCAGCACGGTGAGTAGCAGGACTAGAAGCACAGAAATTAGCAGGGAAAGAACCGGCAGGTGGGGAGGGTATTCTGATTCCAGGGCGGGTCCAGCAGGGTGAGCAGCAGTAGGAATGAGACGGTATCCCTGGTGGGCCCAGCAGAAGTAAAAGATTAGCAGGGCGAGGAACAGTAGGTGGAGAGAGTATCCTCGATAGGTCGAACAGGGTGAGGGGCAGTAGAGAGGTGGGCAGGGGAGGATATTCACAGCGCAACCAGTTCTGAATCCGCGGTGGATTGTGGCTGCGCTGTAGGTGAGAGAAGGAGGCGATATAGGAGCTATCTGCGAGACCCTGGGGAAGTTTTAGAAATCATGTCAGCAAGAGTACGAGGATACATCTGCAAGACGCGCTGGGAGTGTCAGCGAGACTATGAGGAACTATCTGCGGGAATATGAGCTGTCAGCAAGAGGATTCAGTAATGGAGGAGCTGCCAGCGAGGAGAGGAAGTGTTAGAGGCGCTGTAGGTAACAGGAGGATGCAACGGGGGAGGAGCTGTAGGTGAGAGCAGGAGCAGATGTCAGCAAGAGGAGCAGGAGATGGAGAATTTGTGTTGGCAGGAGGATGCGGATGTCGTTGGTTGGGAGTATCAACGTTGGTGAGCCCAGAGACTGGTCTGCTCTCTTAGTCGGAGAAAATGTAGGAGGAAACTTCATCCACGAAGGTTCCGGCAGGACGAGGAGTAGCATGGGAAGGTACTCACAGCATAGCTAGGGCTCTATCCGCGGGCCGCGACGGGTCCAGCGGTGCGAGGAGCAGAGCTTACTAGTAGGGAGAGATAATTTTCACAGCGCAGCCCATGCCGTACCCGCGGTGTGTGGTGGCGGAGCTGTAGGAGAGAGAACGAAGTGTTGGAGGAGCTTTCAGTGAGAGGAGGAGTAGATATCGGCGAGAGGAGGAGGCGATGGAGGATTTGTGTTGGCGGGAGGAAGCGGATGTGGTTGGTAGGGAGCATCAACGTTGGCGGGTCCAGAGAGCCGTCTGCTCAGGAAAAAGGAGCATCGGGTGAGAGGTGGAATAACCACTGGGTTGCGTCTTTCCCGTGATGAAGAAAGTATTCCACATGTAAAACAAGTTTCTCGACTCCTTGATATTGTGTTTCCTTGAATTTCTCGTAGTTGTCTTGGACCTGGGTTTAATGCAGTATCTCTACTACTTTTCTTCGAATTCTTATTGAAGTTCATGCAAAGGTGCGGCCAACTGCAGAATTAGAACAAATCTGTGTTCCTTGGGAGTTGGCTAAGGATTCACGCAAATCGGTGTTGAAGCAGGATACTGGTTGTCAGAAACACAAGGTTCACACCAGAAACACGAGATTTACGCCGGATTTGCTCAAACACCGCAGTCTGTAATCCCAAGCATCCGAGCTTTCAAGGGTGGTTGGTAAATCACCCTACTGACATGGTGTCGGGTCAGATACTTCATTGATACGGTGTCAATTTTGACTTTTTTTGGCACAGTATCTCCATACGATTAAGGTTCTTCCGCTAGTAGGCGGATAATGCCGCAGCTCTAATCAACTAAGCGCCACACGAAAGTGGGGTCGGAGCTTCGGACGGATAGATATGTACGTAGATATGTACATAAGGCCCTAATCTGCATACCGTGGCGAATTCCGTGTGCAACTAGAGCGAGTCGGACAGTAGGATAGAGTGACGATGGGGGGTTGGCACTTCAGATTGATCATGTGAGGGCGGGGTCCGCTGGTGAGTGGATCCAGTAGACTACTCTATTGCAGCACTTGTGTATCGAGAGCAACATTGTCGCTGGAAGACGTCCGAGCAGCCCGCAGGAATCCACTCTGCTGGGAGGTAGGATAACGCCGACATCTATACTCATGCTCTAGTTCTTTGAATCCTACGCTGTTGCCTACTCACCCCGCATGCATGATTAATCCCTGGTCGCTGCGGGCCTACGACCGGACAGAGACATAGCTAGCTCGGCCAATCCGGCATCCACTCTCCATCAAACAGCATTGTCAGTTGCCATTGGCGGTGGGCGCTGCGGGGTTCCATCCTCAGCACGCGTACGACGAGACGTTCACGACGAGCCCACTGTTCATCGAAACATCGACATATTCCCACCTTCTGACTTCCCCGTGCCAGCTTCCGTCCACCGTGCGCTGTTCTCATCGCCAAACTACCGAAACCGAACGCAGTGACTCAGTCGGACCATGTCTCGATGCATCGATCCGGCGGGAGCGAGAGCGGGAGCGGGAACGTTAGGGGCGCAATCGGCAAAGAGTATCCATCCGGCGCGGCGTCTGGCGCACGGGAAGGCGCTACAGTCCGCTGCCGCTGCCGCTGCTGCTGCTGCCGACGACTTCCGTCGCGAGCGCACTCCGGCAATGAATAGGCCGCTGGCGAGGGCTCTCCCGAGTAGGCTCGGTGCGAAGGGTATGTACCTGGTATCC